ATAGAAAGCATGTCTTTTCTTTGACAGAGTAAAAAAATCATTTGTTTTTTTTGTGTATTTTCAGGTAACGGTTCTCACAGTATATGTGTTTCTTTATGGACGTCTTTATCTTGTATTAAGCGGATTAGAAAAAGAGATTCTACAAAGTGCAACTATACATCAATCCAAAGCTCTTGAGGAGGCACTAGCAGCACAATCTGTTTTCCAGTTAGGTTTCCTAATGGTTCTACCAATGGTTATGGAGATTGGTCTAGAGAAAGGCTTCCGCACGGCTTTAGGTGATTTCATCATAATGCAGCTTCAGCTCGCTTCTGTTTTCTTCACGTTTCAGCTTGGAACAAAGGCACATTACTTTGGTAGAACGATTCTGCATGGAGGTTCCAAGTATAGAGCAACTGGTCGTGGGTTCGTTGTCTTCCACGCCAAGTTTGCTGATAACTATAGACTATACTCGAGAAGCCACTTTGTGAAGGGGCTAGAGCTGGTTATGTTGCTGATAGTTTATCAAGTATATGGAAACTCGTATCGTAGCTCGAGTCTTTATATATATATTACGTTTTCGATGTGGTTCTTGGTGACTTCTTGGTTGTTTGCTCCGTTTATATTCAATCCGTCTGGGTTTGAGTGGCAAAAGACTGTGGATGATTGGACTGATTGGAAAAGATGGATGGGGAACAGAGGTGGGATTGGGATTGTTGTTGATAAGAGTTGGGAATCGTGGTGGGAGTCAGAGCAGGAACATCTTAAGCACACGAATTTAAGAGGAAGGGTTCTTGAGATACTTCTTGCATTGCGTTTTCTGCTTTATCAGTATGGGATTGTGTACCACCTCAACGTCGCTCACCGTGACACAACAATCCTGGTATGATAATTTTCTTTTTCTTCTTTTTGGCATAATGCTTTCTGTTCTCAGTCTCTTAACTGGACTTCTTAACTTGGGTTAAGAGACAGTTCTTAGCTTTTGTTAGATTTTAACTAAGAAGAGTTAAAAACCGTCTCTTAAATAAGAGATATAAAAATCGACTCTTAGTCGAAAAGTGAAAAAAAAGTGTCAAATTATGGTTAAGAATTCCGATTACAAGAGTGGGGTTAATCATGTTAGCTCAACTAGAAAGGATCTTGACCGTTGAGTCAGGTTAGATCGCTGAGACGAAACTAATATTACATGATGTGGTTTTGGATCTTGGGGATTAGTGTTTCGGCCCGAACCTCCTAGTAAATAAAAAAAAATGCTTCCCGCTTTTATCTTTTGAAAACTCCAATAACGTTAGAAACCTTTCTTCTTCTTTAAGGTTTATGGACTCTCTTGGGGAGTCTTGTTGGCAGTTCTTCTCGTCCTAAAGGTGAGTCTCCGAAACAGATATGTATATTCAGAGATAGTTTAGAACAGTGGGTTTTTGTTTCTTTTCTAACATTAATGATTGTTATGTTTAAATCATTTGACAGATGGTATCGATGGGAAGAAGGAAATTCGGTACAGATTTTCAGGTTATGTTCAGGATTCTCAAGGCGCTACTCTTCCTCGGTTTCTTGTCAGTCATGACTGTGCTATTTGTAGTCTGTGGCCTCACCATTGCAGATGTATGCGCTTCATTCCTCGCTTTCTTGCCTACTGGCTGGGCCATTCTTCTTGTAAGTTATCACACAGCTGCACAAGAATCTTTATGTTTTCTTGATAAGAATATACAGTTTGTCCCGTTTGTTAATCTGTTGACTAATGTTTTTGAAGATCGGGCAAGCGCTGCGTGGTGTGCTCAAGGGACTAGGATTCTGGGACTCGATTAAAGAGTTAGGGAGAGCGTACGAGTATATAATGGGGCTTTTGATATTCACACCCATTGCTGTCTTATCTTGGTTCCCGTTTGTGTCTGAGTTCCAAACAAGACTGCTGTTTAACCAAGCCTTTAGTCGTGGTCTCCAGATCTCTATGATCTTAGCAGGAAAGAAAGATAAAGAGACACCTGCCCCTGCCAAGTAGACACCCTTCGTATTCTTTGATCTTCATTCTATTTTTAGTATATTGATTCGGTCTTTAAGATCATAGGAAAATGTTGTTTTATAGAGTAAGCCATTTGTTCAAACAGTACATGACCATCTCTATTACTAATCACAAAGAGTCAAAAAAAAACACTACAGTCATTGTAGTAAAGTGATTGGGAATACATCAGAAAGACTTGCGGTCTGAAGTGTCTATAGATAAGTTCTGCCAAATCCAAAAACATGGTAAAGAACGATACATAGACAATTTTGAACAGTCCTAGGTGATGTCGAACTTTGGAGGAAAAGCTAGAGGAATCAGCGGTGAAGCAGCATATAGGTTTTGTTGGTATACACGTCTCAGAGATTGAAACCAAACGTGGTAAGCCTTAGGTGGTGCGAGACTTTTCATGCTCTACCGCGCACGAGAAACAAGACATGGCTTTCATGTCAAATGCCTGAAAATACAAAGATAAAAGAATGTTACTTAAAGCTGTTAGTGCAAATAGAAAAATTATCAAGAAAGAATGTCAATGATTCTCAGAACAGCCTAAGCTAAAAAAATATATACTACTGTTGTGTTGAAGAATTAATTTGTACTACAATCAGCGTCCAAATCAAGCAGCAGCCAATTCATCAAGGAAACAAAAGACTTCTATCTCAAATTCACTCAACCTTTCAGTAAAAAAAAAAAAGAATTTACTCAACCATGGATTTCTGTTTCAGAGTTCAAGTTGAGGTTACAAAACATAATGCAATTCAACAATCGTTCTTTGAAATCCACTAAACCAGACGAGCAAGAACTAAGAGATAACCTACACGAAACGCTAAGCAAAACTAACCAACCTAGAGTTGTGCTTAAAGAAGTTGTTACCTCTTGAAGAGTTCAGAAAAGTAGCGTGTGCCGTTGTAAGCTACGAACCACATCAAGACTACCACCAAACCATCTGAAATAAAGAGTTCAGGAAACGCCAAATAATAAAAAGCAAAAGCAGAGATCTCATGACCTTTTACATTTCCAAAATCAAACATTTCCCCTACCAAAATGTATCAACTTATTCTCAAAAACACTATTCAGCAAAAAAAAAAAGCTCTTTTATGTCATCATAAGAAAAAAAACAGACACATTTGCTTTAGACAACAACAACAGGAGTTGAAAAGAAACGCAGTGGCAACATATATTGATGTTAAAAATATCAAAACTTGCATATCTTCCTAACGATCAAAGAGTATCATAAATTCACAAACTAGACACCAAGATTTAAGCAGAAGAAGACCAGATCTCTCAAGCGAAAGATGATAGAAACAGAGAGAAGAAAATAAAAAGGATACTGAAGAGGTAGCGTTCCCACCAATCAAGCATGTAGAGCCCGAACGTGACATTGTATAGGTAGATTTTTCGTTGTACCCAGTTCATATCTGATCAACTTCCTCCTACATCCAATAAACACACACAGAGATTACAAATCTGTATCCTACAGAGAACGTGATACAGATATAACAAAGACGCCAAGAGATTCGAGATCTAACGTGAGAGATTCGAGATCTATCCAAGAAGAAGAATCAAAATGGGACGGAGACGACAAAGCTGGACAAGTCTTGTCTTAAGACCGGTTTAATGTAAACCAGTTAGTTAATACTGGTTATGAGAGACTAAACCGGGTTTCTCATTGTAATTTCTCTTATCCACGCTCTGCTTTTGTAAGAGAGACGACCAAAGATAATGACGACGACGAGCGTCGTCGGAGCTCCGTTGGTGTTTACTCGGTCTAGACGGATTCCAACGAATCTAAAGTGCTTCGCTTCCACCGCGAATTCTGAGCTTCTCCGTTCCCAGCTCGATAGGCTTCACGCGGAGGCAGAGTCCACTCGTGCTAAAGGTCTAACCTTTATTTACTAATCTTCGAACTTTATTGGAATCAGTAGAATGTTTGATGTCAAAGTTTGGTTTTTTCTTCTTTGTTGGTACAGCAAATAGTAATAGGTTGAGACTTTTGAGATTATCCGAAGCTGCAGAGAATCTACGGAGACAAGCATCAGTTCATGTTCAGACAGGGAAAGTGAATGATGCAAGAGAGTTACTTCTCCAGAAGAAAAAGGTTATGCAAGCTTTGGACAAGGCCAAAGCTCGTATCGAGTTGCTTGATTCCCTTTCTTCAAAACTTAACGAGGTAGAGAGAAACAAGATGTGTTGTGTTTATGTGTTTTGAATTGTCTTTGGAACAGGTGTTGAGAAAGATTGGTTTGGTTTCAGGCAATATCTGTCAAGGAAACTCAACTGATTGGGAATATATCTTTAGATCTGGAAGTAGATAGTGAAAATACTTCAGATGGAGTTCACATTGTATCTCCAAAGCCTGAATCTATTCAAGACGAACACAAGAATGACACAACTGACTTGGGTTCTCAGGAAAGTCAACTTACTGAAAACAACTTTGAGGATCATCAAGAAAGTGTACTAGAAGAGGCTTTAAGTGGCAGCATCTTCAAAGAAGTGTCTTCTTATGAATCTTTCCTGGAGAATCTAGACAAAAAACTTGGTAAAATAGAGGATGAACTTGTTACTGTTGTGAATGTTGCGTCCTTGGTGCTTAGTCATGAAGATAAACCCAAGAATCTAAAGGTTCAGCAAACATCAGAAATCCTTGAAGAGATTCGTTGTGTGAGGGAAAGGTAATACACTCAAAAACATCACTTAAGTTTTACTCCTAATCATTGCAGTATTACTTAGTACATTGTTTTGCTTGTGTAGGATTGCAAGTATCATTTGCAAAGAAGCAAACATCAGTTAGTACTTCAAGCTCCTTCTTGGTATGAACAGTTTAGCATTTCTATACTCAATTCAGGTCTATGGTCATTATCTTGATGTGATGTGAATATTAAATATTTGGTACATTTATGTCTACAACTTAGGTGCGTAAACATTCATGACATATCTTCCTTACAGAAAGAATTTAATATATGAATTAACTATAGATACCAAACGATACAATGATTTTCAGATGTTTTAGTAAGAAAATTGATGGCATTAAAGTGACATGTTTTGGTTCTGGACTAAACAAATCAAGAAACAAAGACTATGTATAACCAAACATTCCCATAACATATCAATAGTCCTGAGAAAGAAAAAAAAGATGCCAAGGAATCAACCATATAGGAATTAAAACATCTAAGTCCTGAAAATAACAACATTCAAACTATTAAACAAACAAAACAAAACAAAAAACTGATTATTTTATGTGACAATGCCTTCATTTCCAGCAAGAACCAAGTACTTATCCTTCCTTGTGAGATTAGTACACTCAAATCCCAAAACTCTAGCAAGTTCTCCCTGTATGAAATTTGCAACTTCAAAGCTTGACTTGCCTCCAGCACAAGTCATCTCTTTAGGCAACTTCTTCAAAACCTCAAGACAGTAAACCGGCCTAGGGTTCATGAGAAAGAAGATAGGGTCTAAACACTTGAGTCCACTCGCTGTTGTCCCATAAAACATGCTCACTCTAGCATCTACAGCCACTGGAACAATGTCCTCTGTTAACTCAGCAAACAATGGACTAAATCTCAGTAGATAAGGCTCTCTACAAGTGGTTCCTTCAGGACAAACCACTAGGTCTCCTTTGCTTAGCAGTCTATGCATCGCCTCACCATCTTTCTTCCTATCTCTCTTGAGGCTAACGGTCTTGAGAGGCGCTATGAGCTCAGAGAACTTGCTTAGGCTGTAAGTAACCGCGGTCAACGGCTTGCCGAGAGACGTGGTGAGAAAAACAGGGTCAAGAAGGGTCCTATGGTTGCATACATACAAGACCCCACTCTTACCTTTCTCTGGACGACCGTTGTGCAAGTTATGCGTCTTGAAAGTGATTCTAACACCGGAGATAGCAGCCAGGAAGTTGGCTACATGGTAAGGAAGCAAGACTCCTATCAAGATCCTGAAGACAGCTAGGAAGAATCCAATAGGGAGCCATGTGAACATAGCGAGTGTAGCTAATGGTGTTGGCAAGAAAGCTAATCTCCCGTCATGGAATATCAGTGGCTTTGGGTATCTTTCTCTAGGTAGAGTGTTGTTCTTGTTCATGAACTCTTCTTCATTCCAAAGATATGCTTCCTAAACGTGGAAGAAAACTGAAAGTTAGTAACTAACTACTTGTATGAAACTTATAAGTAATGAAAACGTAAGAATGAGAAGTTACTTTGCAAATGGAGATGAAGGTGTGATCTTGAAGGCTTGAAGAGCTTCCAATACCAAGTGCAGGCTTCTTCTTCTTGTTATCAAAGAAATAGTCTTTGGCAGCTTTATGTTTCATTACAAAACCATCCCCTGAAGTTAAGCCGGTGTAGACTTTCCTCCCCATAACTTCTATCTCTTGCAACTTAGTCCCAATCACATCATCAGCGTTGAGATGCTCTCTCAAAAACCTCTCCACCATCACTTGAGGCAAGCTCGTGAACACGACTTTAGAGTACGTAGTTCGAGCCCATACGTCGTAAACTTGGAGATTCAAGCTCTCGAGGAAGAACTTTGGTAGAACCGACCTTGAAACGGTGTCCATGTCTTTGACTTTAAGACCAGAGAACGTTATGAAAGTGAGAGCTTTGAGTTTGGTTTCTTGTGGCAAAGCCCATAGGAAAGAACAAGAGAACAAAAGAAAGACCGCTCTGATGATAGAACCTCCTTCAAAGGCTATGAGCATGAAGTAAGGAAAGAACACGTGGAAGTGTTTGCTCGACTGTTGTCTCAAAAGAACACCATCGATGTCACAAACCAAGGTGTCTTCAGCAGAAACAGAGCATCCTCTGTTTTCATCTAGAGGTTCTTGATACTTTGTAATGCTTGGGAAGAGAGGGTTTAGAGAATCTTGATTCTGTTGGTGGTGGTGGTGATCATGATGATGAGAAGTGTTGTGTAAAGATTGTGATTTGGAGAGGTTTAAGTAGTTTTTAAGCTGAAAACCATAGCCTCTAAGCTTTCTTGCAGCTCTGTAACATGAGTTAGCAAGAAGACGGTAAAGAACCCATTCTGCTAGAATCACTAGAAGCTCTGGAAACACCATAGCTATAACTTAGAGAGAGAGACAAAAGAAAGAAAGAAAGAAAGAAGAGTTAATGTGTTGAAGAGGAGGAAGAGGATACAAAGGAGATTTATATATTAGTGACTGATGATAGGCGAGAGCAGAGGTGGTGTGAAGGTTGACCCTTATTTTTTTTTTAATTTAATGTTTGCTTTTTTTAAATTTTTGGTTAACACACACATCTTGCATTAACTGTACGCCACAACGTCTATGAATTAAATTTAGTAAGTGTTTGTATTTGTTTCCAAGAAGTTATGGTTGATGATTCTATTTTTCTACCTGTATTTGGCTATTTGCATACATAAATCTAACGAACGAAGCAATACATTGTAGTCATCACATGATTCTCACTGCTATTGCTTTTGCTTTTTTCTATATTTAATGTCTACTATACACCGGTTCATCTCTATTTGTTCACTGAGATTAGAACACATAAAGTCATAGCAACGTACCACGCAAGATAATCACGTTGAGTCGTTGACAAATTGAAACCCTGTCACGGTTAGAAATCCAACGAATTAGTTGTTGTTGTTTTGTCACTAGCTACTTTTACGACAAATGTCTTGTTTCTTATTACAATCCACATTATATATTATTTTTTTTTACTTTTTATTAACAGAAAGGTGTAACATGGTCTCAAGAAGTCAACCATTATCCATGCATAACGATAGTTGATAACAGTTCATCTTAACCTAATATACATTCAGAAGCATAACGTTATGTGAACACGCTTACTTAGAATTAAAACAAGGGAAAAACAAAACGCATTTGATTTTTTTTCCCAAGTTTCAAAGAGTACACCTTTTTCTGCAGAGCTTTATAACAACTTTTATTAGGTTATGCAGTTGGTGACCGGCCCTTTCTTTTTATTACAAAATTCTGCACAATTTTCAAAATTTATAGTGTTGATTTCCTTTTTGTTAATTTATTTTTTTTTGTTTAAAAGTAAAAACTTCAAAAAAATATGGGTGGTTCTATATTTGACATTTTCAGAGGTATGAACAAGGATAATTAAAAGTTCTGAGCTTTTACGTAAATGGGAGAGCTTATATATAACACATCACATGAAATAACGATAATGGGTTGATTACTACATAAATTGTGTTGGTTTTTATTATGAAAATGTTGAATGATCTTAATAAGTACACTCCAACAAAAGCTTACAGTATATATCTATATATATATATATCAAATTTTGTTTGTATTTGGAAATCGGAAATGCAAACATCTTGACTCTATCATTTTTTTTTTTTTTTGAACGACCTTGACTCTATCATTAGAAATACTTTTATCTAACATGTTTTCGGTACGGGAATTGATTCTAAACAAAAGACATGACATGTACCGATGTAAAATTAATAGATAAAGACAAGTCACTATCGAACTCTATAATTTTAAACCGAACAACAACTCATGTCACCTTAAGATATATGCAACAATGCAATAACCCCAACTTTACTTATACTAGGATTTGGATCCCTGCAGTTCGCACAGGAAATATAAGAACATTTCGAATGAAAATGATGCATAATAATGCGATTTAAAAAAACCATGTGTTTATTATATATTTGGTCAATAAGTAAATGTATTGTAAATTATATATATAAAACCTTTAATTATTTATAAAACATTTAGAATGAAAATGATGCATAATAATGCGATTTAAAAAAACCATGTGTTTATTATATATTTGGTCATTAAGTAAATGTATTGTAAATTATATATATAAAACATTTAGAATGAAAATGATGCATAATAATGTGATTTTAAAAGGAACCATGTGTTTGTTGTAAATTTGGTCATTGAGTAAATGTAGTTTTCATTATATATAAAATCTTTGATTATATATAAAACATTTAGAATGAAATTGATGCACAATAATGCAATTTTAAAAGGAACCATGTGTTTGTTATAAATATGGCCATCGAGTAAATGTAGTTTTCATTATACATAAAAACTATATATATATATATTTAGAATGAAACTGATGCATAACAATGTGATTTAAAATGAACCAAATGTTAATTTGGTCAACAATTTAAATTATATATTAAAAAACATTTAGAATGAAAATGATGCATAGTAATATGATTTTTAAAGGAACCAAATGTTAATTTGCTCAAAATTGAAATTATATATGAAAACATTTAGAAGGAAAATGATGCATAATAATATGATTTTAAAAGAAACCATGTGTTTGTTAGAAATTTGGACATCGAATAAATTTAATCTGTAGCAATCCAATAAATGTATTTGTAACGCCCCGACCGTCCACGGATAATGGGCCACCCACGCCCGCTCTCTCGGCCCGTGGGCCCCATCCCGTTCCAACGGTCGGTCCGTTAATTTTCCAAGGCTCTAGAGTCATGTTTACTGACCCTGCAATCACCACCCGACCTTTCCCCGTGCTTTGGCCTCACTTACACGGTATCGCAAATCACTTCCCGATAGGTCACCCATCCTTAGACTACTCCAGCTCAAGCACGCTTAACTCTGGAGTTCTCTCTGGATGTGCTCCCGAAAAGGTAAGTGCACTTTGGTGACATAGGTAGCCAAATCAATTCTCTTAAGTCTTTCTACATATCACAACTCGGGATGTTACAATTCACCCCCTCTCAAAGAACGCAACGTCCTCGTTGCGCCCCCGACAGGTCTCAAGACGCCTCTCAGGTCAGAACTGAGATGGCTAACCAGCTCTGATACCACTTGTAACGCCCCGACCGTCCACGGCTAATGGGCCACCCACGCCCGCTCTCTCGGCCCGTGGGCCCCATCCCGTTCCAACGGTCGGTCCGTTAATTTTCCAAGGCTCTAAAGTCATGTTTACTAACCCTGCAATCACCACCCGACCTTTTCCCGTGCTTTGGCCTCACTTACACGGTATCGCAAATCACTTCCCGATAGGTCACCCATCCTTTGACTACTCCAGCTCAAGCACGCTTAACTCTGGAGTTCTCTCTGGATGTGCTCCCGAAAAGGTAAGTGCACTTTGGTGACATAGGTAGCCAAATCAATTCTCTGATACCACTTGTAACGTCCCGACCGCCCACGGCTAATGGGCCACCCACGCCCGCTCTCTCGGCCCGTGGGCCCCATCCCGTTCCAACGATCGGTCCGTTAATTTTCCAAGGCTCTAAAGTCATGTTTACTGACCCTGCAATCACCACCCGACCTTTTCCCGTGCTTTGGCCTCACTTACACGGTATCGCAAATCACTTCCCGATAGGTCACCCATCCTTTGACTACTCCAGCTCAAGCACGCTTAACTCTGGAGTTCTCTCTGGATGTGCTCCCGAAAAGGTAAGTGCACTTTGGTGACATAGGTAGCCAAATCAATTCTCTTAAGTCTTTCCATATATCACAACTCGGGATGTTACAATTCACCCCCTCTCAAAGAACGCAACGTCCTCGTTGCGTCCCACAACAGGTCTCAAGACGCCTCTCAGGTCAGAACTGAGATAGCTAACCAGCTCTGATACCACTTGTAACGCCCCGACCGTCCACGGCTAATGGGCCACCCACGCCCGCTCTCTCGGCCCGTGGGCCCCATCCCGTTCCAACGGTCGGTCCGTTAATTTTCCAAGGCTCTAGAGTCATGTTTACTGACCCTGCAATCACCACCCGACCTTTCCCCGTGCTTTGGCCTCACTTACACGGTATCGCAAATCACTTCCCGATAGGTCATCCATCCTTAGACTACTCCAGCTCAAGCACGCTTAACTCTGGAGTTCTCTCTGGATGTGCTCCCGAAAAGGTAAGTGCACTTTGGTGACATAGGTAGCCAAATCAATTCTCTTAAGTCTTTCTACATATCACAACTCGGGATGTTACAGTATTATTACTTTTTTGAAACTTCACATTAGCAACAGCCGGTTAAAAGTGAGACTTTGTACTTTTCAATATACATTTTTTGGTTATGAAAAAATATTTAACGAAAGGGTTCAATAGTTAAAGTTTCAAAAAGCTGCAATTCTTTAAGAAATAAATGCATCCCTTGTTTAAGTGAAACTATGAAATCATACTTAAATTCTTAAGTGAAATAGTAACCATTCTTGCTAATGGACGACAAAAGGATGTTGGTCTTTCCATTTGAAGCGTAGAAGGGGGTTTCACAGAGATTTACCCAGCCTTGCCAGTCAGTCTAACCAGTAGTCTATTGAATTGTCCATCTTTGGTATTATGTAAGTTTCTAGGGCAAAACACTTTTTATTTTATCACAAAATTATAGATTATGAACAAACTCAACTGTCAGATGTTAATATGTTTTTCCTATAATAAAATTTTGATTTCAGCAGTGAAAAGAAAAGACGTTTACTATTATATATAAACATGTCTAAACACTAGACAGTCTATTTACTTCCACTGGACCAGACTTGTTGGAGAAGACATCAATATGATAGTATAAGTTAGCTCACTTCTGTATTAACACATCTCACCGGTGCATTCCGTCGGCATCCATACATATCATTCACTCTAACATTGTAATGCAAACTCTTTCTAATATTCTGCTCTAACCAAAATTCAACGTTGTTATACGCTACCATTCTTTCATTCTAACACTAGATTGATTAATATATCATTTGAAACCACACTACACATGCGTCGGGAACCTTTGGAATCTTAATCGATATCTTGCCTAATTCCATATTTATGATACTTATCACTACAAATTTGTCGACATATCCATGAATAGAAAGAGGAAAAGTCAAACAACAAAATGTAGACATAAGAGTAAATGTAGTTGAGGAAACATGGAGACGCGTGAAGAAGAGAAGGAAGAAGTATGACGAGGAAACGAAGAGTTGATGCATAAACGTGTTGTGAACATTCAATAAGAAGGCCTGCTGGACCGTTTGAGTCTCTATCTCCCTCTGTTGCTATAGCTTTCTTTCTACCGACTTTACTTTTTTTCCTTTTACATTTTATTCCCCCAGTCAATATCTTCCTTGTAATTACTATCCTATGCCAATTACGTTCCTTTCTACACTTTTTAGGTCTTTTCGTCGTTAGGTCTGTCTGGCCAACATGGACTCTCTAATTAACTT